CCTCCAAGAAGGTGCACATTACCTCTGGGTAGGATGATGTCATGTGGCGCCTTGATCCATCAGGCGAATTTTCTACCGGTTCCTTGTACAGGGAAATTTTTAGGGCTCCCCCCATGCGACTTGTCTGGAATTTGGAAAGCGCGGCTTCCGGCCAAGATTAAGATCTTCTTGTGGCAAGTGGCACGAAATAGAATTACGAGCGGGGATCAAATACAAAAGAGAAGGGGTCCGGGTGATGGGAAATACGTCTGGTGCAATGAGAGTGAGGATCGTGACCACATCTTATTCCCATGTATTATGGCTCGATTTATGTGGAACGCAATTAGAGAGGTGACGGTTGCACTTGGAACCCGGCGACTTCACGGCCTTCTATCGTCTAGCAAATAGTATGGTGGGAAGAGATAGGAGAATGACGTGGATGGGCTTTGGAGTCATGGCACGAGCCTATGGACCACTAGAAATTCATTCGACATCCAGCTGACTTACTATACAAACTGGTATCTTTCTTGCAGCTATAATAACTGTTGACAAGATCTCAGGACAGAGGGCATGTGGAGGTGCTCGTCACAAGAGTGCGGGCAAGATACCCTGAGCTTCGTCGAGCTACGAGGGAGAGCATTGTCATTGGCATGGATGTCTCTGGCTACCTCAACAGCCCGCTGATTTTCGCGCTCTTCTTTATCATTGCGCGCTGCGTCGCGTTTGTTGGCTGCGGCCTTGTACCCTTAACTTACTACTTTCGTCGAATGCTTTAGGCCTCAGTTTAAGGCCGGGCAAATGCCTCCTTTCTAAAAAAAAAAGAGTATCTCGTTCGGCGTTCTTCTCTTCGCTCCCTTATCTCCCTGCTCCCTTCACGCCGTCCCCACGCTGGCCGCGCCCATGGCGATCGAAGCCGCGCGCCTCTCCCCTTCCCTCGCCGCCGCCGCCTTCCTCGGCCGCCGCTCTCCTCCCACACCCACTTTACTCCGCCGCCTATGCCTCCTCCTCCCCCGCCGCTCCCTCCTCGCCAGCGCCAGCACCTCCTCTTCCCCCGCCTCCTTGGGCGGGGACGGCCGCGTCGTCGCCCTCTCCTCGTCGGAGCTCCGCAAGCGCCGTAGCTCGACATCCTCCACACCAGCGACCGGAGAGAACGATAAGCTGCGCTCGCTTCGTCGCCTCTTCGCGCGCCCGGACATTGCAATCGACGCCTACATCGTTCCCTCCCAGGATGCCCACCAGGTTCACCACCTCCATCAATGCTGTAAATGAGTGCTATTATTCTCCTGATTCGGTTCGTTGATAGTGGAGAAATGATGCACCCGTGTGGCCGTGTTGATAAGACAATTAGTGTAGTTGTTGTAACTCCGCGCCATTCAGGCACGGATGATCCTGAGTGAATAGTTTATTTCTATATGTCTGGTGCTAACCATGTCCCAATCGTGGAGCTTACCGGATCTCTTTGTTCACGCAACTCTCGGTGATTAATAGTAGTGATGAGTATTGACCTATCAGGTGAAAATTTGAAACATATACTGATCGAGTGTTTGATATCTCAGGCTCGTTGGGTTGTGTCCTGTGGACTGCTTTTGATATGATGGCCTTCTGGAAATAGGCATCAGCTAGAGCAATCGCTTTTATGCACGGGGCACACGCACATGGATATATACTTGATACACCCAGCGAATTAGTGAAATCAACCATGTACTTGGCGTGTGGAACTGGCAAGTGGCATTGAGCTACAGCTGCAGAACATCATGATCAGTGTAAATACACATAAGAGCACACTACCATATTATGCAGTGTCTCCACAGTTTGTTGAACTGGTGAAGCTAATAGTGCTGTATAGTGTTCAGAAAATCATCAGTTTATTCTTGTATCAATGATGCTGCATGCTCCCTGACTCCTCCTTGTTTCGTTACTCTTTATTTCAGAGTGAGTTCATTGCGGAATGCTTCATGAGACGTGCCTATCTGACTGGATTTACTGGTAGTGCTGGTACAGCCGTGGTCACAAAAAATAATGCTGCTTTTTGGACCGATGGCCGGTATTTTCTCCAGGTACTTCATTCCGATGATGCAATTTTTAATTCTTCTGCACATATGGTTTGTGTCAGCACACCGGAGGTTGCTTCAGATAGCCACGCGGCAGCGACAGCGGGCGAAGGCCCTGTTCCTCATCCGACAAGCAGCGACGAGGCGGGAAGATTCAAGGGCCCTCGTGGGCCTGCGGCGCGGCCCACTCGGGTCAAGTCGAAGCACAGGTGGCACGCCGGCCCTGATTGGATGTAGTTCAAATACCCCCTTGTACCGTTCGAATGGATCGGCTTTGGACAGACGGCGGCTTCGGCCGATTGTAATGCTAGCGCAGTGAGGGAGGTTGGGAGGATAAACACGCTGCTTAATTTTTCCCCAATTCGCCATGAACCCTAGCTTTCACGCGTAGATCGAGCTCGACCCTTACACTTGGTATCAGATTCGGCGGTCCTGGCGCTTCCCCAACATCATCACGAGACGCGGTGGCGGGATCGGCGGCGAGCGGCGGCGATGGAGAAGCTGTCGGAGGATGGGCGTGGTGTCTACGAGCTTCTTCGGGCGGATCTCGCGGTCGACCTCGACAAGCGGTTCCGCGACCAAGGTGCGGATCTACTCAAGGCCATGGAGAAGCTGATTTCAACAAATACTTCGACCCTCGACGGCCTGCTCTCTTCGCGCGTGGACGGGGTCCGCGACGAGTTGCTGATGGAGATAGAGCAGATCCGGGGCGAGCCGTTGAAGGGGAGTACTCCTCCGCAGGAAGATCCGTCTCCGTCGCGTGTGGCTGGGAATGGTCGCGGCGGTGGCCCGACTGATTCCCTCAGCTTCGACAACGATTACCGGGGGAAGGCACATAATACTTATGTTCCTCCTCCGGTCAGAGGTGCGCGTGAGTCCAATTTTTCGTTCCGTCCTTCTCTGGGCCGCGAGTCGAGTTCCTATGATGCTGCTGATTCGTTTGCGTTTGGTGCTCGCTTGGAATTGCCGCGATTTGATGGCGCCAATCCGCGTCTGTGGCAAACGCGGTGTGAAGATCAGTTTAAGCTGTGGTGTACTCCGGCTCATCGATGGATTTCTCTGGCAACGGCTCAATTTGAGGGTGCTGCTGCTTGTTGGTTGGAATCAATGCAACGTCGACAGCCACAGGCAAGTTGGTCTGAATTCTGTCAGAATCTGCAGAACCGCTTTGGGCGTAATCAACATCAGACATTGCTTCGTCAGTTGTTTCGCATAGCTTAGACCTCATCAGTGGCAGATTATGTGGAGCGTTTTGCTGATTTGTATGACCAATTGTCTGCGTATGAAGAGGCGCCCAATTCTCTGCATTACACAACTAGGTTTCTAGATGGACTTAAACCTGGTGTCCGTGTGGCTGTAGCTTTGCAGAAACCACGCATTTGGATGCTGCATATGATTTAGCTTTGTTGCATGAGGAGTTGGGTGAAGGACTTACTCCACTTAACCATGTTCCTGCTGCTAGATCAGGGCCTATGCCATTGCCACTGCCACCGTATAAACATCGCAATTCTGATGAGAAAAGAAGTGTTGAAGTTCAGAAAACAAGTCAGTCTGAAGATAAATGGTCTGCTCTAAGAAATTATCGCAAGTCCAAGGGTCTGTGCTTTGTTTGTGGGGAGAAATGGTCTAAGGATCATATGTGCAAGTCGTCAGTCCAGTTGCATATAGTGCAGGAGCTTATTGATCACATTCAATCAGAAGACACATCCACTATTGACAGTAGTCCTCAGGACCAGATGTCTGTCTGTAGTATGCATCTGTCTGCTGCTGCTCTAGGGAAACAGTCTAGTGCACCTACTTTGCAGTTGTTGATTGAGTTGCAGGGCATGGAACTTATCTTCCTTGTTGATTCAGGCAGTACACATTCTTTTATTGATAGTAGTTTGCAGAACAGGTTGACAAATATTCATACACATGATCCTGTGTCAGTCTCTGTAGCTGGTGGAGGTACATTGCAATGCAGTTCTGTGTTGAAGTCTTGTTCCTGGAGCTGTGATCAAGTAGAATTTGCTACCAGTTTTAGATTGCTCCCTCTAACCAGTTATGATGGAATTATAAGGCTGGATTGGCTTGCTCAGCACAGTCCTATGCATGTTGATTGGGTTCAGAAGTGGATGTCCTTTTACTATCAATGAGATACAGTTACATTGCAAGGGCTGTTGCCTGAAGATGTGGCAGTTACAGTGTTTTCTGTTGCCCTGATTAAACTTGTGGAGCAGAAATTGGTTCAGCCAGAGTTAAAAGTGTTGCTGGATAAACATGCTGTAGTGTTTGAAAATCCAACTTCCTTACCTCCTAGAAGACTTAAGGATCACACCATTCCCTTGATTCCTGGGGCCAGGCCAGTTTCTGTTAGACCCTACAGGATTGCTCCACATCTGAAGGATGAGTTGGAAAAACAGATTAAAGAGCTGCTGGACTCAGGAATGATTAGGCATAGTAACAGTGCTTTCTCTTCTCCTGTGTTGTTAGTTAAGAAGAAGGAAGAAGGGACTTGGAGAATGGTGGTTGATTATAGACAACTCAATGCTATCACAGAAAAAGGGAAATATCTAGTGCCTGTCATAGATGAACTTCTGGATGAACTTGCAGGAGCTTGTTGGTTTTCTAAGTTGGATTTGAAAGCTGGTTATTATCAGATCAGGTTAGCACCAGGAGAGGAATACAAGACTGCATTCCAAACTCATAATGGTCATTATGAATTTAATGTGATGGGCATGGGACTGACAGGAGCACCTGGCACATTTCAAGGGCAAATGAATTTTGATCTTTCTCCTGTTTTGAGGAAGTTTGCTTTGGTTTTTTTTGATGATATTCTGATATTCAGTAAGACCTTGGAAGAGCATTGGGGACATTTGGATGAGGTGCTGTCTATTTTGCATAAGGAACAGTGGAAGGTTAAAATGTCTAAATGTGATTTTGCTCAGCCCAAGATAGCATATTTGGGGCATGTTATTTCTGCTGAAGGGGTTTCTACTGACCCTGATAAGATAGTGGCTGTTAAGCAATGGCCTACCCCACAGAATGTGAAGGAAGTGAGGGGTTTCCTTGGGTTGAGTGGTTACTATAGAAAATTTATTAAACATTATGGAATTATTGCAAGGCCTTTGACTGATCTGCTTAAGAATGGGGTTCCTTTTGTATGGACCAGTATTGCAGAGGAAGCTTTTATTACACTTAAGAATGCCTTAGTGTCTGCTCCTGTACTGGCCTTACCAGATTTTAGTAAGCCATTCATGATTGAGACTGATGCTTGTGACTATGGTATTGGTGCAGTGTTGATGCAACAAGGACACCCACTAGCATTTGTCAGTAAAACTCTGGGACCTAAAAATAGAGCTCTGTCAGTATATGAAAAAGAGTATTTGGCTATCTTGTTGGCAGTGGATAAATGGAGGCCTTATTTGCAAGTTCAGCAGTTCACTATTAAAACTGATCAGAGAAGTTTGGCTCATCTGCAAGATCAGAGATTGCATACAGTTTGGCAACAGAAGTGTCTTACTAAACTCCTTGGATTGCATTATCGAATTCAGTACAAACAAGGTGTAGCAAATAGTGCAGCTGATGCTTTATCTAGAAGACCTCCTGATGATTCTCAGTTGTTTGCCATTTCCAGTAACCAACCCACTTGGTTAGTTGAGATTGTTGACAGTTATAAACATGATGAGAGAGCCATGGCAATTATGCAACAGTTGGCTGTGCAACCAGCTTCTAAACCACCTTACAGTCTGGTTAATGGTCTTCTGAGGTATAAGCAGAGTATTTGGGTTGGCCCTGTTCCTGAATTACATCACAAAATTTTCTCTGCTTTTCATGATAGTCCCTTGGGAGGTCATTCAGGGTTTCCAGTGACATACAAGAGGATTCATGCTCTGTTTACTTGGAATGGAATGAAGAAGTTTATTTTACAACAGGTGCAATCTTGTTTGATATGTCAGAAAGCTAAACCTGAAAGAGTACCTTATCCTGGGTTGTTATCTCCTTTGCCAATTCCACATCAAACATGGGATACTGTCTCTATGGATTTCATTAATGGTCTTTCCCAATCGTCTCAGTACAACTGCATTTTAGTGGTGATTGACAAGTTTTCTAAATATGGTCATTTTATTCCACTCAAACGCCCTTTCAATGCTCAAAAGGTGGCTGAAGTATTCTTGGATAATGTGTATAAATTACATGGTATGCCTAGTGTGATCATATCTGATAGAGATCCACTGTTTACTAGTCATTTTTGGAAACTGTTGGTTGCAAGAACAGGAACTCAATTGAATATGAGTACAGCAAATCATCCTGAAACAGATGGGCAGACTGAGAGAGTGAATCAGCAAGTGGAGTGTTATTTAAGATGCTTTATTAGTGCTCAACCTCACAAATGGAGTAAGTGGTTGCCCTTGTGTGAATTCTGGTACAACTCCAATTGGCATTCTGCATTAGGGAAGTCTCCTTTTGAAATCTTGTATGGTTATACTCCTAGATATTTTGGTATCTCTGCAACTGACATAGTGGCTCCATTGGAAATGCAAGACTGGTTGCAATCTCGGCAAGCAGTTACAGAAACAGCTCGACAACACTTGTTGAGAGCACAACAGCGCATGAAACATCAGGCTGACAAGAAGAGAACTGAACGAGTTTTTGCAATTGGGGATAGTGTTTTTCTCAAGTTGCAACCTTATGCTCAGTTATCATTGTATTCCATAGCAAATCAGAAACTGGCCTTCAAGTATTATGGACCCTTTCCAGTTCTGGAGCGCATTGGGGATCGAGCTTATCGATTAGGTCTTCCTGATGACAGTAGGCTACACCCTGTTTTTCATGTTTCTCAGCTCAAGAAGTTTTTGCCTCGTGAGATCATTCCCAGTCGGACATTGCCTACAGTCAGGGCAGCTATACAAGTTCCTCTCAGTATACTGCAGAAGCGAGTGCGCTCTCAAGGTAACAAGACTATTGCCCAGGGTTTGGTTCATTGGTCTGAGTCTTCTCCTGCAGATGCTACTTGGGAGGATTTGGAGCATTTGAAGCAGCAGTTTCCCCGTGCTCCGGCTTGGGGTCAAGCCGGCTCTCAAGGAGGGAGGAATGTCAGCACACCGGAGGTTGCTTCAGATAGCCAGGCGGCAGCGACAACGGGCGAAGGCCCTGTTCCTCATCCGACAAGCAGCGACGAGGCGGGAAGGTTCAAGGGCCCTCGTGGGCCTGCGGCGCGGCCCACTCGGGTCAAGTCGAAGCCCAGGTGGCACGCCGGCCCGGATTGGATGTAGTTCAAATACCCCCTTGTAACGTTCGAATGGATCGGCTTTGGACAGACGGCGGCTTCGGCCGATTGTAATGCTAGCGCAGTGAGGGAGGTTGGGAGGATAAACACGCTGCTTAATTTTTCCCCAATTCGCCATGAACCCTAGCTTCCACGCGTAGATCGAGCTCGACCCTTACAGTTTGGATGCGGCTAACACTTCATGTTTTGTTCTTCTGTTGAGCAGGCTGAAAAGGAATTGAGCCATGACTGGACACTAACGCGGAGTGGAAATCACGGTGTTCCAACCACTATTGAGTGGTTGAATGATGTCTTACCATCTGGTTCTCGAGTTGGTATTGACCCGGTGAGCTTTTGTTTTGTTCTGTGCTCTCTTTCTCCATGGCCTGCTGACCATAACTGCCCTTACTAAAATCTGTGAAATGATAATTTTACGTGCATAAGAATCTACATAATCAACAACTTCACTCTACAAAATGAATAACTTTTTGAGTATGCTTTCTGTCATGCCAATTGATGATATCATTTGGCAGTAATTTATTTTTATTTTAGAGGATTGTTTTCATGCTGTCTTTGGAGTTATAATTCTTACTTGTTATATAAAACGAGTGACACAGATTTTTACGTGGAAAACCCTTGCGGGAAACAACTACGGAGACACGAAGAAGTAATCTCACTATTATGGAGGAGTTTACAAGTATGAGAGGACATGCCGTCTTTAGGTGCTACTACATGGGGTATATGTAGATGACAGTATACAAGGGTCTTGGAGGATAAGAAAACGAGCTATAATTGTACGCGTCGACATCAACGCAAAGCCCTACACCACTCCTACTACGTTTATCATGAAACGATGCCGTGCCCAACACGGTAGTAGAATACGGATCACAATTTAACATTACCTGACCATTTCATTAAGTGATTCAAGGATATCATAAGTGAAGTCATGATTTGGTTAGCTGGAATTGCAATATCATATCATGAATTTAATCTTATTTTCTTCATACTGCCCCGTTATGCAACTTTAATTTTGAGATTTGTGATACTAGTAAGATCCCATAAGCTAACTTTTTGAGTAAAAAATACAGCAGTATAATTACTCCCCATTGATTATTTGATATGTTGACGACTCTGCACTTTGTTTATGTTATTGTATTCTTGGCCTAATCCTCTATTGTTTGTTTGCTTGAAGGATGCAGTTCCTTTTCTCATCTGATGCTGCTGAGGAATTGAAGACTGCTATTTCTGACAAGAATCACGAGTTAATTTTGATTAGAGATTTTAATCTGGTTGATGAGATATGGGGAGAATCAAGGCCAGCGCCCCCAAAAGAACCTACCAGGGTGCATGCCATCAAGTATGCTGGTGTTGACGTTGCATCGAAGTTATCTTTTGTCAGATCACAGCTTGATGAAAATGGGTGTGACACTGTGGTTATTTCAATGCTTGATGAGGTTGCATGGTTGTTAAACATGGTAAGATTTAGCTTTCACCATTATTTTGACATGGTATGCTGGTTATGAGCATCCTGCAGTTTAAGATGGATTACTTCTGAACCTGAAACTCCGCATGTTTATTTTCTCTCATATGTAATAATTTGACTTCCAATCGCTTACATGATAGACGCATGTTATAGAAAGCTACTTCAAATGCTGGATTCAAAAGCATCGCATGATTTTATACTGTTACTAGTCATGCATTTTTTTTGTTTTCCAATGTTATTACCGTATACGTGCTTTGATAATTGGTAACTAATGCTTAGTACAGGTCAATAGACTGTTCTACTTACCACTTCGTGCTCCCTGTTTGGCATTTTAATTATATACTTTTATTGTTTTGATAATCATGGTTGCATGATAATCTACAATATTCTGCATTTTTCAAAGACTTACTACGGAATAAGTAATTCCTGATGTTTTAGCAGTACAACATCTGATGCCAACTGAAAAGTACAAGGACGTTTGCGCTTTTTAACCCTGTTAAATATTGTTGCGTTTTGTTTAATACACTTTCCACAAAACTGATGGTTGACACCACTATTGAATGCAGAGAGGAAGTGATGTTCCACATTCACCTGTATTCTATAGCTACTTGACTGTGGAGATGAGCACTGCTACATTATTTGTAGATAGCAACAAAGTATCTGAAGAGGTATTGGAGCACCTCAAGAAAGCTGGAGTAAAGTTAAAATCATACGAAGCAATTTTATCTGATGTAGAAAGGTAAATTTTACCAAAGAATATTTTACATAGCTTGGTGTCTGGCTTCGAATGTGCAGTTCCTTACTGTATCTTTGTATCAATGCAGTCTATGCAATTTACCTAGATTTGTTTGTCATCTCAAAATTTGGAAACAATGTGATCTGATTATTCTAATCAGTTTGTAATTCATCTGCATGGAAGTCAATCAAGGTTTTAATACAGCCCATCTGCATGGAAGTCAATCAAGGTTTTAATACAGCCTTAAGGCGGATGAAGTGTGGAATATTCAATATTTACTGCAAAGGCCTGTAGTCTATGTTGGACTGAGGTTTTCTATTTTCCTGCCAAATACGGAAAATATGAAATACCATGTTTGGATTATGTGAATTGCATACTTATGAGCTTCATAATTCCCACCCTGTGCCCTACCAGCTGCATACATCTTCATACCCTATTCAGGAAAACAACAATTATCTTTTGAGAAGTAAGACCTATATGCACTTAATCTGGCACAGGACCACCTGAAGTCTCTGTTTTCATCAATTAATGCCTACATTGGCTTTTGACAGCCTGTTTGGAATGGTTGATGAGTAGTTCACCAGCTTTTGCCTTCTTCCTGATTTTGATCATGATGGCACCTTCTTGCTTTATGATTTGAGTTAGATGAGATTCACATGTATTTGATTTGGCACTTGATCAAGTCAATTGTTCGTTTTGGCCAAACAGATGCATATTTTTGAAGTTTCAATCATAACAGTTTGTAAGTTATAGCCTTGTTAAAAAGCGGGGGTTCCGTTATGTCCATCACATTCAAATCACCTATGTAATCACATCCCTGCCTCAAAGGTGAGTCGAACTCATGAATACATTAATTTAGTAAGATGCAAAAGTATAGTTAGAAACATGTTTATCTATGAATCTCTAATCATGTAAAGCAATCTGCAAGGAGGGAAACAACAATTATATTGTGGTGTTGTACATGTCTTTTATGTACCTACTGGATTTGGGTTGTTTATTGGTTGAACTACTGAACATGTGTTTGAGAATCCGTATGTTGGAAAAGCAATTAGCCACTATTTGGTTATGATAGTGCAAGAAGTAAAAACTTCTTCTGTAATTTCATCTCACTTAGTTCTAGTCTGCTGAAGGGAAAACTAAAAATTACAACTAGCGAAAGATTGAGATTTATCTAGAGCAGAAGGCAAGTACCAACCAGTATATAAACAAGCACAAAGCATGAACTAGAAGGTAAAGAGTAGGGAAATGAAGACAGCGTATGTAGTTCCCGAAGTTCAAGTTATTGGCAATATCTTCTTCTGGAGAGGCTGAGCTCGATGCGAAACCACTGAGGTTATACCTTGTTCTCCTTGAGCTAAGTCCACGAGGAACTCAGCCGATCACTCATGGTGGATCTTGAGGTGATCCCTGGACCTGTACAAACTTTGCTTTCGGCCAAATCTCCGAGAGTAACTAGTAAGATATCTAGGCTCGAAGCTGCTCAATCAAATCTCAACTATTCCCTCTCAATGGTTTTCCTCTCTTAAGACGGGGCTCAAGAGCATAGAGGAATGGGGGCACGAAGTATGAGAGGGTAATAACTGCACTGGGGGTCCACCTGAGCTCGTAGGGGTTCGGTTCCTTTCATAGGCACGCTCAGAAACCTAGCTGTTTTGCTTCAAGATTCACAATACAGCGGCACTGGGATCCTAGCCGGACACTGCTGGATTTTCAGACAACGGATAGTTTTGTGGCACTAGGCGCAAAGCGGAAAGATGTGTCAACAGAGTCGCAACACGGTAACGTCGCCTTCCTAGCCAGACTCACCGACCGAGGAACCAGAAGCACTGTGCCTGACATAACCTGCCTTCAGAGCCTCATCTTGACCACACTGATGGCCAAACCGGAAACACCGGTGTGATGAACTTGACAGCAAAAGTAAAGGGCCGCAGCAAAGGCACAACATAGGCTCATCCCGGCAATGATGAGATCCTAACTGGCACCGCCAATCTTTGAAACGAGCGAACACTTAGGGCAACCCCAAACTGTTGGATTCCTAAATCCTGATAGAAGCTAAGCGGTGTGACGCCGATTTCACAACCGGAGACACCGGAACCACACCCCAAGCACACAGCGAAAACTAACTGAAGACTCAAACGCGCTCAATAGAGGTCATCCTCGGTGATGCCGATCTCAAAACCGGTGTAAACGAACATAGCTAATGGCCTAATGCATCTCAAAGAGATTTCAAAGGATATGCTGTGTATCTGGTTGGGTTCTAACTGAGCATCAGCAAGCTCCATCCATTAACCACAATATCCAACCCCTCTTAATAGTACGGTTTGCCCTAAACTCAAAGTGATTCACAGAGGCACTAAAAGCTATAAAGTCTTCAAGAGGCAAACCATGTCTTCGGTGTCCAACATTTTTAGGGGTCAGACATCCATAGGTTAAACCAACATCCTTTGGGACTATGCACCTGTGTACACTCACTAAACACATTAGTCCGTTAAATCGTTTGCCATTAATCATCAAAATTCGCTAGGGGGCACTAGATGCACTATCAAGTGGATAATTGTAAATGGTTAACTACTAATTGTCTTATTTCACTGCAGTTACCTCTTTCCTGTTCCATTGTGTTGTCTGAACTGGGAGTGGTTTTTCTTCTGTAGGCTGGCAGAAAAGGGTGCAAAACTGTGGTTGGATTCTTCAAGTGTGAATGCTGCCATAGTCAGTGTATTTAGATCTGGTTGTGACAGATACATGGGAAAAAGAGGAAAGACAGGGAGGCAAATTGGCAAAGAGGCATCTTCAGATGATCCGACCACCAAAAAGCACGGTGTTCAGAATATGGAGTTAAACGGTCTGTACAAAGCCTCACCAGTCACCCTTGCCAAATCAGTTAAAAATGAGGCAGAAATTAGAGGAATGAAGAACTCGCATCTAAGGTATTGTTTCAGCATACTTACGAATTCAGGGTTTTCCTGTGTTGAAAACTAATTCTAAGAAAATATAAAATGTCAATTTCGTAGAACTGATGGTACTGAAACATATGCTGATGTATTCTACTGTAGCAAATGCACAGAAAAGGTTTCATGGATATGGTGGCTTCTTAATAGACGTCCTTTGATGTTTCTGACCTATCACAATAATCGCTTTGATAGCTTTTATGTTTGTACTGATGTAGAGGCAGTAGTGTGACCAATACTCACTTCATTTGTTTTTTCTCCTAATGTGAACATAAAAAAAGAGAAACTTCACTTACAATATTCAGCACACACCATCTTTTTTTCTGTATCAGCGTTTCTGTTAATCCTGGGCCATCTGACCCAAGCATGCCTGCACTGGTGCATAATACACTTGCAGAGATGCTGCTGCTTTAGCAGAATTCTGGTGCTGGATAGAGGAGGAAGTTCGTAATAATGTGGCTCTTACAGAAGTGCAAGTTGCAGAAAATCTTCTTGAATTTCGCCGAAAGCAAGATGGTTTTATAGAGACAAGCTTCGACACTATTAGTGGTATATTCCCACATTTTTCCGTCAATAGCAAATTGTCATCAGATTACTCGACTAATTTGTTGAGTTTTATGTGTTGTTATGGTGTTTCCTCTGATTTCTGCGCCGTGTCTGGATTCATTGTGTTGAAAGAAGGCTTTGGATGATTATTGTTCATTTGTGCTTATGCCTCGGTTGGTGACAGCATGCTGGGTAGGGTGATGCAATATCTTTTTACTTATGTGGCCTCTTGGCACTGGGATTTACTTATGTGGCCTCTTGGCACTGGGATGAGTCCTTTTCCATCAAATTTAATCTATTTCAGAAAAAAGTTCACCTCCTTTTGTTGTATTAAGGACTACTACTTTGGTGATATGCTTCAGTATGAATACTGTTTTTATGTACTTTGTCAGCTTTAGTATGATATTCATGTTTGCTATGGTAAGCTTGATTGCCACGCAAAATAGGGATGAAATGACACATCTGGTTCTTGATGACACCCTTGACTCTTCCATGTCTTCCAGTCTGCAAGTGTGTGATGTCCCCACTACTGAGAGACCAGAATTATTGATTTTTTTACCCATTAATCCTTTTTTTACATGCAGGTTATGGTGCAAATGGTGCTATAATACACTACAGACCAACTCCGGATAGCTGCAGTTCTGTTGGAAGTGACAATCTCTTTTTGTTAGATAGTGGTGCTCAATATGTTGATGGAACGACTGACATTACAAGGACAGTTCATTTTGGCGAGCCTTCCCCGAGGCAGAAGGAATGCTTCACAAGGGTTTTGCAGGTGTGTCATTTCTCTTAAGACTACACGTCTCAGCAACAGTGAGCTATTTTATGTATTGTTTTCTGTACTTCAGTAGTAGAGTTTTTTTTTTTGAGGAATGAATAGTAGAGCATGTTCAAATACTTCACTTCTTTGTTCTCAATACCTTACTCAAGTAATGGAAGCTTGTTGGTACAGGGCCATATAGCTCTAGATCAGGCAGTATTTCCAGAACGAACTCCAGGTTTTGTGCTAGATGTTCTGGCACGATCATCTCTCTGGAAGATTGGGCTTGATTACAGACATGGTACCTTCTCTGATCACACAAATCTCTGGCCCGGAATCATCTATATACCAACTATTGGTTTGACTGGTCTTCTAAATGGAATGCATGTAAGTTCTGGAGCATGTTTGTCCCTGGTTCAGGCACAGGTCATGGAGTTGGAGCTGCACTCAACGTCCATGAGGGCCCGCAGAGCATAAGCTATCGATATGGAAACTTGACAGCTTTACAGAAGGGCATGATTGTAAGCAATGAACCTGGTTATTATGAAGACAATTCATTTGGCATTCGTATCGAGGTAAGTTTCCCTATTTGGTGCTCATGTCAATCTTCAATATTTTATGTGCTGATTGTTCAGTTGAAAGTTAGTACTGCAAGTATTTTTTTATACTTTTGAACCTTGCAGAATCTGCTTCTGGTGAAGGAGGTTAATTTAGCCAATTCTTTTGGCGGCATTTCATACCTGGGCTTTGAGAAACTAACTTTTGTTCCGATTCAGGTACCCATGCATTTTATTTATTAATTGCAATGTTTCTGTTGATGAAATTTAGAGATAGTGATATGAATACAAATAATACTTCTAATTTGGACAGTCAGTAATCAAGCTGACAATATATCTTTTAAAGATACCACCTTAAAAAGTTCCCCGGTATTATTCCAGTGACTGGTAACCTCAACCAATAGGTCCCCTCAACGACTTTCACCAGGTATTAGTATTAGCTAGTTTAAATACATATTTATGTATTAATTGAGTAATTAGTAGCTGGCTCAATGGAGGTTCACGCATATATATGTACTTTAAGTCTGACTCGACTCGAATCACTCCATTGTTGCGCCATGGGTCGTTCCATAAACTGTTGACCACTGCGGCTGCTACCTACCAGTTAGATTCCTAGGGGTTGTTTGGCTTGCGCCAGAGCTGGCCCTGCCAATCCGGAGAACGCCAAATAATTGGCGGACGTTCTGGCCGCCCCCGTCTCACCAAAAAGATGCCGCAGAGGTGAACTAGCGAAGGCGGACAGCTGGGCACACCAAAAATTTGGTGTCCATCCAAACAGCTCTCCAAGGCGCATTCAACGCCAATTATTTGGCTGGGCGCTCCAGGGCATTGACCCAAACAGGCCCCTAGATATAATCAAGGACTAAGTCCCGAGTTATATTCATAAACTGTGGACAGTTAGACAGGCTTAATTACTAGTTAGTATCTACTCTCTCCGTTCCTAAATATTTGTCTTTTTAGAGATTTCAAATGGACTACCACATACGGATGTATATAGACATATTTTAGAGTGTAGATTCACTCATTTTGCTCCGTATGTAGTCACTTGTTGAAATCTCTAGAAAGACAAGTATTAAGGAACGGAGGGAGTACTTGTCAGTTGTTGCGTGTTGAAAGAGAAGGGAGGTAACTTTCTCCTGAATTACATGATGTCTGCATGAGAAGGAAATAGATGCAAAGATCTCCGATGAGTTTTTTTTTTGACGAAATGCAGTGTCACTGCTTTTCATGGCGATTAGGAAGAATAAAGTTTACAGTTTAAAAGAAGGAGATGAGATTAGAGAGTCTGTAAAATACAACATGTCAGCCTAGTCTGGTTCTAAAGGTCGTTCGACTAGTGTCATTACCCATCGCTTGCCCGCATCCGCCCATTCCCTCGCTTCGAGCTGAAGCTTTTGGAAACGGACATGTACTGTGCAAGCAGTGTTTGGAATACCCTCTCATTTCTTTGTTTCCATATGTTCCACCAATACCAATGCAATGATCGAACGCCAAGTCTGTGTCCATATGAGTAGAGAAGCACTGCCACCAGTGTAGCAAGGATTCATCACCAGAATGCATGAGGTAGTTATTGAGATCAAGCCTGCTGAAGATTAGTTGCCACAGCTCCAATGAGATTCTTGTTTAATGGGCTTGGTAGTCACAGAGCTACGCTTGAGCTAACAGAAATGTAGCTTTCTATTGTATAAGCAAAACATATATGATTTCATGAAATCGCAAATGAGATATTGCTATAATTTGATAGCAACCTACATTGTGTTATAGCTCTTACATTTATTGCTATATTTGATATGAATGGGATATTTATGTCTTCATATATCTTTGTTTTATCACTCTTCTTTGATCATTTCTCATTGGCATCCCATGTTCTATTCTTGGCTCAGCCCCTGCCTGAATGTATGGTCTTTGATATGCATTCTGACAATCCAAATTTTCATTACATCTATTGATCATTTTTTAGTTATACCTGCTGGTTTTGTTGATTATTATTGTCCAGCTTAAGCACATTATTCATGAAATTCTGATTATTTTCTTATTCATTTTGCAACTTCAGAGAAAGCTTATTGACTTACCCTTGCTATCACCTTCGGAGATAAATTGGGTCAATGAATACCATGAACAAGTTTGGGAAAAGGTGAGCTCTAGATACTTGAGACCTGTTTGTTACTAAACCTACTTGATGAAGAGCGGAGTTATTGTGCATGAGAATGAATACTTGCACTTGCATCATGAGATCTCCTAAAGGACGATAGTTTCATGTTTAACTAACATAATTTCCTACAGTAACCGACCTCATCGTCTTGGAATAATTGCCCCACTAAAGTACGAGTTACGACTATTTGCAGGTTTCTCCTTTCTTGAGTGGCAATCCTCTCAACTGGCTGTTGGTTAACACAAGGCCTCTCTAGACACCAAGCATGTCGCAACATGAAAAAAAGCGACCAAGAAGAGCAAGTCACTAGGTGTTCACTCACTTCTTGGCAGAAAGCAAGGGAAAACGATGGCAAGGTCTAAGGCATTGGTTGAAGCTGGTTTATTCATCGGTACCCGGTTAGCTTAGTGTAATGTTCAAAGCGTGTAATGTTCAAAGCGGTGAAGCGATTTGCATACATCTTCATTTGCCATTGGTTATATGATTAGTAACCATGATAGTTCAGTTGCTTTGTTTGGTCTCCCCCCTATGATCAATGCTAGGATTTTGGTAATATATGACAAGTTACATATACTCAAAAGTACATTTTTTACTCATAGTATATTCAGTTGTGCGATGTCATTATTTAGTAAATACTTCATCCGTTCACAAATATAAGATATTCTAATCTTATCCTTGAATCTGATGTATGTACACATGTATATACACAAGTGTGTGTTCACTCATTCCAGTCCATATATAGTCCGTATTAAGATATCCAAAACATTTTATATTTCTGAACGAAGGAAGTATGCAAATTGCACAGTTCCGAACATTATGGTTTATCTGGGGTGTCATTGGCGTGGGCCTTTTACCTCTTTGCACGAGGTGGCATATGCGCGTACTCTGTTTTCTTCTTCTACTATATCTGGAGCCGTTAAGAAAATAATTGAAGATAAATATCATTTTTGGTCCATAACCATGGTGTGTAAATATTTCAATGCAACGGTAATTCAAGTATGAATATTACAATCCAACATGAACTTTTCTAATAAAATAGTTCAGATGAATTCGACTTATTTAGACATACTTTTTAGTTTCTCCCTTGAAGTGCCCATAAATGCTCAACCAGATCATTCTGAAATTGCTCGTGAGTTGTTCAATGATGAATTTATTGATCCATTTGGATAAAAAAATTAAACGTTGCCGGATTCTGCTATAGGTAGGACCAGATCATGCGAAGAGCTCTTCGCCCTATTGATTAGGAATCTCGATCAGAAACCACCAGGCCATGTCTCCCGATAAAAGATGATCCCCACAATGCGCGTCTGTTTGTTTGCCGTTGTACGAAAGTCTATCGATTCAAGAATTTGCAAATCCCTTGGGTTCTTTGAAGTTGGATAGGATCACCCATTTGCTCAAAGTTCAGATCGTGGCAAACTCTGTCGCCTTCATCTTTCACAATCATATTATGCATGATCACACAAGCTGTTATCATCTCCCATAATGCTATGGATCCTATATTTTGCAAATCTCAAACAACCGCAAAAAGGGCTTGGAGCACTTCAAATGCTCTCTCCATATCATTTCTAGCTCCTTGTCTTTGGGCAAAGTGAGTTTTTTTTCTCACCCCTTGGCTCGGAGATACCATCACAAAGATAATAACTTGTGATCGTTGTTGGTATAGTTGCACAGAGGAGCTTATCCTGCACACAACCTTGCAAACAATGAAGACTGCTGCATCATGCTGATGTCATTGTGCGATCCGGATATCCCAAAAAAAGAGTGCAAATCTAGAGGTCTTGCTATGCAACTGTTTTAAGAACGATGGCAGGCTTCTTGCAACGGCCATATATTACCCTTGGAGGGCATATGGGCAATTATTCCATTTCCAGTGCATGCAGTCGAGGGATCCGGGCATATTTAGGCACCCTCTTGATTCTGACAATGACATGATCCATACGATGCCTTTGATAATTGGTCCTCTTAAGTACTCCACTCCAAACACCTTGACCAATGTAGTAGCAAACTTGACCATGACTTCAAGACATGTGGTTTCGAACATCTGGAGGTACTCATTCCACAGATCTACAACAATGCCATATGCAAGCATCCTCAATGCAGCTGTGCATTTTTGTTAACCATAATCCAATGTTTTCAACTGCATCCTTCTTCAAGATGAAGTAGTCATCATAGGTCCGAACACCATTGCAGAGGCAGTGGCACACAGTTTGGTTCATCTTCATCCAAAATCGACAGCGGAAAAAGCACTCGAATAGCACATCCGGGACAAAGTAGTCGTTCATAAGCATCATATGCCCTCGTGCCCTTTTCTGATTCATCACTTGAGGCTGCTTGATTGATCACTTGAAATTGAGAACATGCTCCTCTGCATGTTGGGCATCTTCAATAACCGCATGCATCATCGTCATTTCATCCTCATATTCCTCCTCATCTGACGACACTAGAAATCAATGTTTGTTTGTGGCAACCCACTTGTGTCACGTAAAATCATTTTTTGTCATGAAAAATGCACTAGTGACTGACCATCGCAGAAGTCCCGTCACAAAAATGTGATCTTGACGGTACCACTTTTTTTGTTGCCTAATATCATACCTTAGGTGGCAGTTCTTGTTCTGTCACAGAAGTCCAAAACGTCACCTTATACATGCCAATTTTTGACGTAATATAGTTCAAGTGACGATAATCCTTTGCTAGCAATCAATGTCTCTGGTTTGACCGATCAATGTTACTGATATATGGTGAAAGTGCGTTATATCGACTAGAGGGGGGGTGAATAGGCGATTTTTATGAATTCTTCACTGAGGAATTTGCCGGTGAGGAAATTCCTTACTAAAGAACTACTAGTAGCGGAATAAGTACTCAGAAGTAAGCATAACAGATTACAAGCATGGTCATCATGATGAAATGAAGACTAGCACAGAGTACAGAAAGCGTAATCACAGGATAACACAAGATGAAGACAAACAGACTGAAGAAATTGAACTGAGGAAATTGAGAAAGTCTTCAGTCAAAGTCTTCAAGCACAGATATGAACAAACAGTCAACACAATAATGAGGAAATGAAAGGGTTGAGGAAATAGAACCAGTTAGTTGGTGAAGACAATGATTTGGTAAACTAGTTCCAACTGCTGTCTCAGTTGTACGTCTGGTTGGAGCGGCTGAGTATTTAAACTCAAGGACACGCAGTCCCGGACACCCAGTCTCTGAGCCGCAACTTAGGACACCCAGTCCTCACCGTATTCTCCTTGAACTAAGACCACGCAGGCCTCGTCCAATCACTCGTGGTAAGTCTTCAGGTGACTTCCAAACCTTCACAGACTTGGTCACTCGGCAATCCACAATTCCTCTTGGATGCTCTAGACCTTGACGCCTAACCGTCTGGAAGAAGCACAGTCTTCAAAGGTAACAAGTGTCGGATCCACGCAGGATCAATTTCTTCAGTGATGCTCAATCACTTTGGGTTTGTGGGGGTTTAGTTTTGGATTTTCCTCACTTGATAATTTTCGCTCAAAGTCCTCGGAGGATGGGTTGCTCTCAAATGACAAGTGTCAAGTTCTCTCGGAGCAGCCAACCAACTAGTGGTTGTAGGGGGAGGCTATTTATAGCCTAGGGAGCAGCCCGACATGATAAGACATAAATGCCCTTCAATGATATGACCGTTAGGTGGATAAGATATTTTGGGACAGCCGGCGCGCAACACAACAACAGTCGGAAATTTGACTCTCAAATTCCTCAGGGCTATCACGTTCCTCACTGTGTAGGCAATTCGCACTGGCGAATTCCTAACTCCTCAGTCAGAGCAAAGTCCTCAGTGACCAGAAGAACTGCGTCTCTGTCACTGAAGAACTAGACTGATCTGTATGAGATTTCCAATGGCTTCACTCGAAGGGATTGGTAGATGTAGGATTTTGAGTTGAGCATCACATGGAAATTTTTCCTTAGTATTTCCTCAACCCCCTTTAACAGTACGGTGTTTCCTATGACTCAAGAAAGAGAAAATAAAACTATGAAAACAAAAGTCTTCACGCTTCATGTTCCTCAAATGAATACCAAGTCTTCAAGGTCACACCAATTTCTTCACTTTCAAAGTCTTCAGAAAGTCTTCAGAAAGTCAAAGTCTTCAGTCGAAGAACTTCATTTTTAGGGGTCGACTTTCTCTGTAAATATCAAACTCCTCATAGACTTATAGACCTGTGTACACTCACAAACGCATTAGTCCCTTAACCTATAAGTCTTCAATACACCAAAATCACTAAGGGGCACCAGATGCACTTACAATCTCCCCCTTTTTGGTGATTGATGACAACATAGGTTAAGTTTTCAACGGGGATAAACATATGAAGTGTAAATACTGATATTGAGGAATTTGATTGCAAGATATAGAAGAACTCCCCCTGAAGATGTGCATAGTGAGGAATTTGCTTTTGAGGCAATGCACATTTGAAGAGTTGAATCATGGAGATCTCCCCCTATATCTTGTAATTCATACACGCATTTGATATATAATATGAAGAATTTGAAATGCATGATGAAATATGGTGCCTAATGAGATTTAGCATGCGTGCAATAATATTAACGAGGAATAGGCATGCAGAATAACACATCAAAAGTATCAGAGCTCAGTGCATCAAAAGTATCAGAGCACCGTCCAAAAGTATCAAGGCACCATCGGGTTTAAGATTACAACTCGATCCAATAAAAGTTTCGGAAGAACGAGAGTTGTAACTTTAAAAAAACGCCCTTAGTATAGAGACCCGCTTGAAGACTAACTCAGATTTCTCCCCCTTTGTCATCAAATGACCAAAAGGATCGAAACTGAGGACTAACGCCCCTGAAGAATTTCAAGTTGATGGAGGAGCGCCAGCGTTGTCGGGGTTGTTTGTTGTAGCAGGGCCTGCCGCATTGTCGTCCAAATCTTCATACTCATCAATGTCACGCGATGAAGAATAAGAGCTGCCACCAGTGGAGGAACTTTGACCCTCTTGAATTTCTTCGGAGGAGGTGCATACCAGTCAAATTCTTCCTTAAGACCCATAGTCTTCAGTTCTTCAGCGCTATAAACATGAGTGAGAACAGCCCAGGTGCGGTTGAGGGTTTCATGAAGGTAGTAATGGTTCTTCTTCACTGCATTGTGTGTTGAGGTCATGTTGTGAAGAATTGCACCAAACTGACGCTTTACCCATTTGTGATTGCGATCAACCTTCTGATGAAGACTAAGGAGTAACTCACGATCAGTCATCACCCTGGGAGCTG